TAAGGCCAAGGATTTTGATCTCGCGAGACAGTTCAACGCCCACCCCGCCCATGGTCAGATGTGGGTAGTCGTACTTAATTTTGTTTGTAATAACCATCGCCTGGGTCTTGTGTGGCGCGAATTTCAACTTGTTTACGACTCCCCACCTCCGCACACGCTCGAGGGTAGCATTAGCCTGCTTTTGTAACTCTGCTGCATTGTGTCCCGAGAAAATCAGGGCAACATCGTCCGCAAAAGCCTGACAGTGTACCCCTTTGTCCTCTAACTCTTTTAGTAATGGGTCCAATAACAAATTCCAGAACGTAGGGCCCCCTATAGAGCCCTGTACGCAGCCCTTTGTCGTGTCCCTAATACTCTCTGCTCCGGCGTACCTAAGTCTAACCTTTCTTCCGGAGAGGTAACTATCAACTAGTCTCCTCAGATTTACGGGGCATCTTGATTCAGCAAGCCTGCAGCGAATCGCCGGCCACCAAGCGCTGTCAAAGGCTCCCTCTATGTCTAACGATACCAGTGCGCTGTGGCGTGAAACCGAACTGTCTGCGGCTCATACCCGGCAGAGTGTGCCATCGTATTCTCTTCACTAACATTTTCTCGAGTATCTTGCCCAGAACCGGTAGTAGTCCAATCGGCCTGTACGACTTGGGGTGAGTATAGTCGTCTTTGCCAGGCTTTGGCAGCACTACGATTGTTGCTTCCTTCCAGGCCGTTGGGAAATGGGCTAGCTCGAGGCATTTATTGTAAAGGGCTAAGAAAACCGGTGGGTTTAGGGTAATGGCCGCTTTGCAGATGTCTGCTGTAAATCCATCTCCTCCTGGCGCCTTCTTGGGATTGAAGCTCAGTATTGCCATTTGCAGTTCTTCTGTTGTGAACCTTGGATCACATATTTCACTATGCGTCTCATTGTTTACTTCCGCGGCTGTTTTGCGGATGTTATGGTGTTCCACATTGTCTTCGCTCTCCTCGTCCCTTGGATAGAAGGTTTCGGCCAGTAAACTGGCAGATTCCTCTCCTCCCAAGACTCTCCCATCTTTCACCAGTGGTACGTCTTCCCTTCTTTGAGTTGTTCGGCCAATTACCCTGTAAATACCTTCCCACATGGATTCCCGGTCTTGCTTTCCGCAGAAACTCTTCCAACTTAGCGTTTGGGCTTTCCTGGCTTCTTCTTGGTAGATTTCTTTGGCCTGCAGATAGCTCTCAATAACCTGCTGTCGTCTAATTGGAGCCGCACATTTGATCCGACGCTTCTTTGTTGCAACCTCGCCCTTAAGCTTGAGTAGCTCCGTATTTAACCATGGCAATCCTGTTGGCTTTTTATTCTTTGCTTTAGCTATTGTTTCATCACATGTTTTTCTAATTGTTTCTTTATTTTTGTCTACAATTGTATCTAAATCTTTACTGTTTGCTATTTTATCTACTTCTTCTCTATTGATATTTTCATTTTCCCAAACTAGAGTCAACTTCTCACCGAAGTCTCCCCAATTTGTCTTTTTTGTATTGTACAGTCTCGTTGTTCGCTTAATGTCCATTCCTTCTGATTTTTCTAATTTCAGCTCAAACAGGATTGCGTTATGGTCAGCGCTAGTTATCTGACTGTCCACTCTCCAGTGATCTACTCGTCCTAACATCTCCATCGAGCAGACAGTGAGGTCAACGCAGCTCATGAAGCGCTTCCCGCCTCTCACGGTATCAAATGTGGGTTCGCAGCCTCTATTAAGTATCTGCAGGTCCAATTCGTCTAGCGCACAGGATAAGATCTCGCCTTTGTGGTTTGTTGTCCTGCTTCCCCACCACGTATTCCAGGCATTCACATCCCCGCCTATTATTATGTTTGATGTGCCCAATTGGTTCTTAACTTTTGCCAGCCATTGGATGTACGGTTCGATGGGCTTGTCCCCGTCGAAATATATCGACACTAGCCCCACCTCCCACGCTCTAGTTTTTAATTTGACTACAGTGATATTGTGTGTAGTGAGCGTGGGGCACTGGATAATGTCTACAGTATCATCAAAGAGCGCAATGGCCGTTTTGTTAACGCTAACTGGGTTCCCACTGCATTGCACTACTTTGACTCCGGCGTAGGGCTTCATCCTCCCCGTAGACCCAATGTATGGCTCTTGTATCAAGGCTACTGTGATTTTCCTTGATATTGCCTCCGTCACTAGTTCGGCTGTTGCTAGCTGGCACTTCTGCAGATTTGCCTGGACCACTAAATATCTACCTGGGTTTTGTCTACTGGTGTCTTTTGCAACAGGGACCACTTTAGCAATATGCCACAGTGGCTCTCGCTATGGCTTCCCATTTGCGCCTCACTGGACAATCGCCACTGAATGCACTGTGGTCCCTGTACTCCAGTTTGGCTCTGGTGCAGTTTACACAGTCTGGGGCGGATGCTTCCCTCCATCCTGTACATTGTGCCCTCACGTGCGGGCCGCCGCAGTGGCTGCACACATCGACCTCCTCCCGGCAGAACCGCTTCCCATGGCCATACCCTAGACAGCGCGAGCACTGTACTAGGGGTGACTGGTCGGCGACCCTAATCCGCTGGTAGTCGATGTGTACTGCTCCGGCCTCTGTCAGTTGTTTCCACATATGCGGAGGGACTTTCGCCACAACATGTTCCGTGTGTGGGTTTCTAGCCCTTCTTCTGTACCTAATCTCTATGTTCTCTACATCACAGTCCTTCAGCAACAGATTCTTGTTCTGGGTTTTAAGAGCTCTCTTGATGTCCTCGTCTGTGTTGGCTTTCAGAATTCCATAGAATATAACGAGAGGATCTTTGTTTTTGGCCTCTTCCACGTTTAAATTTCCCCCGGTTTCCCTAATCTTGTCCCTAACTTTTCCTATTTCTTCCTTGTTTCTACATCCTATTATAATTTTTCTATCCCTTGCTTGCCTGATTCTGTCTATCCTAACCCCTTCCTCCCTTGCGTTAACAGCTTTTTTCACCTTCTCCAGTACCTGTTCCCCAGTGTCTTGCTCATCCTGTGACGTTATTATCACGGAGTGCATGGCAGGCCGTTCTTGAGGTTTCCCATTTGATGTACTGGCGGTTACACTAGCGTAAGTCCGGTTTTCCTGAAGCATTTCGCGTTGTATGCTGATCTGGTGTTGTAGCATTGCCATGTCCTCTCTATGTGCCTGGAGTAGGTTTCCATGCTCCTTTATTCGTCTGGCCAGGTCTATTTTGGCTTCTGTATCTTCTTGTTCCTTCCTCTCGTCCGTCTGTACTCCCTTTACCGCTGTGCTTTTTTGCTCCTTTATATTCTTACCCTTGCTTTTGTCCTCTTCTTTTCCCCTTCCTCCTCCTCTCTTTCCATTCAATTCTATCTCAAGCTCCTTTACCAGCTGATACAGCCTCTCAATAGCCTCTGTTACACCTGTTTTTATTTCCGTCCTCAGGTTTTTAGAAGCGGTTAGGTGCTGCTTTGCCTTACTGAGGCATGCTCGTGCCTCCGATGTCTTGTCGGAGTAGATGGTCTTCGGCGAGCGTGTATCAGCCGGGTGGGGTCTGGATTTCGTGTTATCTTGGGGTAGGGTTATTTTCAATTTCACAGGGTCTGCCTGCCCTCTGCTCGTCACTGGAGATGTGGTGGTGGGCGGGTCTTTTCCTGCAGCCTCCCATTCCCCAATACTCCTTCTCACCTTTTGGCAAAATACTTAGAATAATAACGCGTAGAAACCTAGTCCGCACACGCTAAGTGAGGCAAATTGAAGCACTCCCAATCGGCCTACACGAGCGGGCGGGCCTTCAGAGCTTAAGGTCAACTTGCACCGCGAACAGCTCCAGAATTTTAGCTAAAAATGACGAAATGTGCGGTAAATGAGAGTAAAAATACGTCAGACAAACATAAAATAGATACTACTTATATAATTGTAGGTCAATGTACTTATACTATACTTTTGAGGGAAATGTTATTCCATGGCATCATTATTTGTATATTTGTGTGCGTGCCGACGAGTGTAGATACAAGTTGCTTACGCCTACATGAATTTGATTTTTGCCTCACTTGTGACAGTTCGTTTGACATGAAACTCATTCTATGCGTTATGATTCTAAGGCAAAATATCAATTCTCTCTTAGCGCATCTTCGGTGGAAATGGTCTGGATTGACGAGGACGTGCAAGAAATGAACTGAAATATTTGTTGGTGTAATATTGAAGTGTTACTGCCTGCATAGTTATTAACTCTCTCCGCCGTCAATCGATTTGCGCAGTGCAAACTTGAAAACTGGATTAAATGGTGGAATAAGCCACGCTGTTACGTGTACTGGATGCAAATGTATGAAACAACAAACTTATTGTATACGCATATACATTAATGAGTAAAAAATTATATTGACTAAATCGCATGTTTTTGATTAGATTTTATAGACTACATTAAAATAATAAAAATATGACATATCATATACTCAACTCAGCCACACGTTTTTAAATAAAAAAGGTGAGCTCTACGACCACCACATGCAAGGTATAATGGAAATGGGTAGAATAGGTAAAACAAAAGCGATTATTTCCAAAAGATTTATTTCGATCATTACATGTTCGAAGAAATTTGTTTAAATCTAATGCACATACGTATGTGACAGATACTGAATAATGCGGTTCACGAAAAGATAAGTGAGTATAATAAATGAATAGGACAAAATGTTTCCACGTTAATAAATGTGGGACATGGAATCCAGTATCAGTATATTAAAATTGAGGTTGCGTAATTTGTATAGGTATACATATACATTTTAGTTTTAAGAAACTGGGGTAGGGTATTTGACTATTTTTTATATCTTCAATCAACTCACATGAACGTACATAAGGCGGAACTTAAGTTCGTTTTACGTTTTGTTTTCCGATATCTCAACTAATTTCTGGGGGCCTAACATAACTTTTCCAAAAAAAAAATTAGTTAAGTTAGAATTCAATTATAACATAAGTAGCAAGCGAATTCGCGTGAAGTGTTTGCCATAAGCTCGATCCAAATTATTTTATAGTAATTTTACATAAATTACTATAAAATAATTTGGATTTTATTTACGTTGATCAGTTGTTACTACCGAATTTCATTATTAAAATTATGACAATGTGATGTGTGGGTTTAGTTAACTTTTTTATAAAATTAGGAATTAAATTCCTATGTACTATCGTGGCCTATTATATTGTGTCATTATCATCCACAGCCCGACTTTCCGTACTACTAAGTATAGGTTTCCCGTAGTTTGTTTTTGGCCACCATTCGGTCGCTTCACAGTCGTCACTGCCTTCGCAATATGCCTTACTCAGCACCATCTAGGTACGTTACTCGATCTTCAGACCTTACTTCGTCTTCGAATCTCGGAGATCGAAAAATGGTATAACTTTATGACAACAATGCCACAGTGCATTGCCCTGTACAACTCTCATTTTGTACAGTGTTATGTGTGAGCGTCCATGTGTTGTAAGTCATAGTAATCAGAGTATATTGGGTGAAGAAGCAGGCTTTCACATATTGTGTATTATCAACCGACTTCTGTAAGGCTAGCACGATAGAGCGCGACTTGGGCGCAGCGACATAAAGCGCAAAATACTGCTACTCTCAGACAGAGATGTCCAGGCCACCCCAATAGTACGCATTTCGTGATTTCCCCTTGCCAATGCTCTGTACCAAAGGATAGAATTGAATATTATATGTGTCAAATATCTACCCTCTCATTTCTTACTATATAGGATTAGGATGCTGGCGACCTTCATCGTATCTTCATTTTGGATGTGTTCATCCCTAGACGCAACCTGAAGAGGCATAGCTTAATGAGAAAAAGTTTCCGATGTGTGATATTGCAACTGTCAGGTTCCGATTGGTACCTAAAAGAATTTAGGCTGTCACGTGGCCGTCGCGATCACCGTCTTTTTTGCAGTCTTTTTCCTCGAAATCTTTCCCACTCCCAGATGCGGATTCTTTTTGGTCGATATTTTTGCACCTACTTCCAGACGCGGATTCGAAGTCTTTGTTTTTCGTACTTGGTTCTTCATCGTCATCGTTTTCATGTTTCCTTTTGTCAGCAATACATTTGGTGAGGACGGATGTCATGGTACCAACATCCTTTTCCGTTTTACGTTGAGCCAGCGTAGCCAATGAAGCTTGATCTGTAAATTTATTCATTTTGTATACGTTAACAAAGTCAACAAATTTCAACAAGTTCATCAAAATAAAGCAATAAAAATGAACATGCTAAAATTATGTTATTTAATGTTTCATGATATCAATCAATGATTTTATGTTCTACATTTGTGCATAGCGAGCACACCGTTTATTCGGATGCGAATGAAGTTACAGGGAGAAGATAGTATGTGAATGTGATTACATACAGCGCTTTAAATCTGGCGGCATGGTGGCGAAAGTTATGTAGCCGGTGTGCCCCGGCGTGTTGGACGGCCAGGCGCCCGACACGAATTTCACACTGTTGCTGGCCTTCTCGGTCACCGGATTTGTTGAGGCCTGCCAATAAATACAATACAATTATTCTCCTTTATCCACAGACTAACTGAACCACTCACTGGTACCATTACTCTGGATTGCAATTTTTGACTTAGAAGTCACACTTATTAAATCAGTCGCTTTGAGCCGGTCAGAAAAAGCGTTATGTCCATGTGATGAGAGTGAAAATGACGAAAGCGAAAAGCGCAACCTGTATACAAACATAAAGCTCTTTTTAACCGGCTCGAGTCTACTCGGCAATAATAAGTGTGGTGACTCCCTTATAAAAAGGTGCCCACTCATATTTTAAGAAGCTGTGTTTCAGGAGGCGTCAGACAGCTGGTGTGAAGCTAGACAGCTCATTAGAGGCTGTTAAACGCCATGGGACTTCATCGGCGAGGCTCGGTGCTAAACGTGCAAGATCTACAGTGAATTACTAGCGATACGCCATTAGGCACCTGCCGACCGAATACGTGCTTGATGGGACGGTATACTCACGTACACAATCGTCTGCTTACAATAGTTTCCTTTGTATAACATGATTATAAGAAAAATTATTCAAAGGTTTTCTCAAACCCCTATTTCTTTTGCAAATATTCTAGGAAATTTGAAAATTTACAAAACAACATCACGAAGGAACTAAACAAGACTGAATTGCTGCCAGCTTAGCGTAGGAAGAAACCTTTGAAAGGGGTACAGTCCAATGTTTCAGCGCCCAGAGACGTGCAGTTGGCTAACGAACGGAACGCATAAGACTTTTTTATAAATTAAATGTAAAAACTAAACTCAATTTCGTTTAAAAATAAAATGATTCCACTCATACATAGCATGAGAAAAAAAAAAACGACAATTGGTCCTTGTGACATTGTGACATCACAACCTTAATGGCGGCATGCAAGCTTATGTAGCTAAGGATGTTTTGTTAAAAAGTGACAGAGATAACCCTTCATCAAATTTTAACCACGAACATAGCGTCAGGTCGAGTCTAAAAGCAAGTTTCAGAAAATTTTCAGTATGTCCTTGTGAGTAGATTGAATATTGCGTTGCAGTATTATTTTAGTTAAATACCCTATTATGTTATTATTGATTTAGTTTCATTCCACTAACATCATGCAAAATTTAAGTAGAGCATTAGAGTATTGCAGAAATTTACTATTTTGTTAATCACGTTGTTAATGCAAATTTATTTATTTATTACTATCGCTGGATAATTAATACGGAATTAGCAAAAGCTTTGAGTATAGACTCTGAAGGTACTGTATAGTAGGGATGCCGCAGACGTCTGCATCTGCTTTCATATCCGTGTCACTCGATGCAGAATTTTTGCGGATACGAATGTTTTGCAGGTCACGCTAAGATCGTCGGCAGCAGGTCCTACTCAAAGCGCGTGCAGAGTGAAAATTATTGGCTTTATTACGTTAACTTACTAACTTTTTCATTCAAGATAGCCCAGCTCAATTCACACAAAAGACGACCCACAACATCTTTAAAAACTTTAAGTATTAATAAATGTCATAATATTTCTATTCATTCTGTATTCCATCTCTTTTGCAACAAAATTATGCCAAATGATTATTTTTTTACTTAAATTAATGATAATTCAATGATCCTTATTTTCTTAGAAAAAAAAAATCACACATCCGTATCTCCAGATTTCAAAGATGAAAAATTCTCGTCTGCGTCTGCAGTGTTCTCATAAACCACATCTGCGGCATCCCTCCTACAAAGACACGTTTTCTTTTACATTTAAAAAGCCCAGTGATACAGTCTTGCCTCTTCTTTATTAGGTACCGGCTTAACTAACGTTTACAATATTGGTGTTGTGTTTGCGACGATACAGCAAGCGGGTCAGGGTGTAAGCGTAATTACCGATGTCACGGCTTGCTGTTACATCGCGTCCTTCAAACACTCGCGTAAACACTCAATACTCTATTTTGGCTGTGGGAACTTTGATTACCGCTCAATCAATGTTGTAATTAGCAAGTCTGCAATGCTTTAAGCTTGTCTTCGATGCTTTGCGTTAGAGATTATAATATCAAGTATATATCTATTCAAAGCGTAGGTATGTATTTGAAGAGGTGCTGTTAACGACTTCGTGTAAGAAATAATCTTTAAGGAAATGTAAAATTTATGTATAAATTGTCAACCGTTTACTAAAGCATGATAATGGCTATAGCCAGTCACTCTTTTACCTGATTTTATGTAAATAATTCGAAAATTACATATGCAAGTAGTTACATTTGCAATTAACACTTTCGCCATCTTTTTCCTGCTATTTAGACATTTCATTTCGTTTTACGTAAATGATTTTCGTACTCTGGGTTCTAGAATACGTATTGTTCTGAGTTTATATCATCGTAATGAGAAGGTGCGGGCTGCGGTGGCGCCACGCGGGTTTATAATAACAGACCACTGCAACAGACTCAGATGTCCCCTCTCATTTCACGGAATTACTAAACGCAATAATCCTAGCCTAGAATAAGAATACCTACCTATTCTGTCTATAGCTAGTATTTGCTTGTAAAATAATTTGAAATGTAGATGTAGATTTAAAATTCGTTATACTTAGTGATTTGTATGTACTTGTCACTGTTAGTAGTAGTAGAGCTCCTTGTGAAAGAGGTTGTCCAGGGAATTACTGCCACCTGACCTATTTCTGCCGCCAAGCAGTAATGTCAGCATTACTGTGCTCCGGTTTTGAAGGGTAAGGGTGCTGGTGAAATTACAGGCACTCAACTTATGTTTCAGGGTGACGGGCGCAGTGGAAGTGCCCCTCAGATCTTTGTGATTTAAAGCTCTCAGATCTTTGTGATTTAAAGCTCTGAATGGCATTGCAATTGTTATAGACAGGCGTACTGATAGCATCAGGCGCACGACTTGTTCGTCTCGTCACTTGATATTATAAAAAATAAAAAAAATAAAAAACAGTTATTTTCGGAACTTGCGACAGACGTCCCATTATGTATAAAGAATTCTTCCTAACGACTCCTTGCTTTTGGGCCACATTGACCGAAATAAGTCATTTGCTTAATTTGTCTACGTAACGCTGCAATGTTTTATATTCGAAAAATTACAGAAGCCGCCTGTGGTGACCAACATACGCGTTGTTAGAATTACTTGAAACCTTGACAGAGTTGTGGTGAAGATTACACTAATTTAGATCCCGGCACAGCGGGCTGAGGTGTTTGTCTAACCGCAGTTTGAACTTCGAGCTGTGACCTTGGCCTGCTATGAACATCTTTGGAAAAATATCTCGTAACCAAGTGTTTCGTTAAATGACGTACTTAGGTTTATAAAATCAGGAACTACTAGTCATACTCCCTGCTTACAATCGTTACATTTTCGTATAACTAGAGTTATGGAGGCCCTTCAATTCTGATTGCATGGCAAAAATAATCGTTACCCATGTAACAGAGATATCAAGCTATTAACAATTTTAAAACAACATAATATTGTCTGCATCACAATATGCGCACGCACCGCAATTACGTAACATAAATTCAAAGTTGGAACGCTCGTGATCGATGGGACCGTTGGGTTCGGAAACGCAACAAAACCATGTCAAGTTGTTATATATTTGATTTATGGCCCCAATTTTATAAAATAATTTAAACTGTTACGTTCATTTCACATTGGTTATTAAACAATTCCACAAATGCATCGCCTGAATTTAATTTTATGACCCTATTGTTATATAGACTATATTTACCTATACAAGCGGTCATAAAGTAGATAAGCTGCCATAAAACTGTAAAACTAAATAGGGAAAGAAGCATTCTAAACTGCCGATTAAACGTATATAAAACCCAGATTAAAACATAAAACCTTCACGCTGTCAACACAGAATTTAACCTCTCTACTGGATGACACGATGAAAAAAGAACATAAAATAAAAAAAGAATAACGAGCAAAGAGGCGCATTAAGAATTGAGATAAGAGAGATGGACGAGCACTCAACGGCGCGCGGCCAACTTTATTATTTATTGACACTTAAAATAATTACCTGTTTGGCCCGTGCCGAAACGTGGACATTCGGGTGTCGAAGACCTCCACCCGCGCTGTGAACGTGTAAGATTCGCAAAAAATAAGATCCGGATGTATGAGAGGCTCTTTATCGAATACTTTTTTAAATAAAATAATATAATACGCTTAAACTATTTTTAACATGTAAAATTTTTCGCAGTTGTCTGTGAAAGTGAAACTATACGAAGAATGAAATATAAGGTATACCTGGGGATTCTTCGTTAGCAACATTAGAAAAACAAATGGCACTTGTTGGCTTCTTGCAGTCAAATAAATCTGCATCAACAACCAACAAAAACTTCGCAGGCATGACGCAGATAATCCAAATGATCGCTTACAAAAAAGCTGTAAGAATGGCGATAAAATGACTGAGCTGCCAAAACGGACGAAACGAAATACAAGCTTTTTTATCAGAGAGGCTTGTACGCTGTCGCCATAAACGTCGGCGGGTGATAAACACCAGCGGTGGATTTAGATGTTTTTCCCAAGGGCATAAATAAGAAAAAAAAATAAAAAGTTTTAAAGATATCGTAAAAAGCGTCTCGGTAGCGGTCAAAACGCATGTTTCAGATAGGACGCACGCACCATACAGTTCGGAAGATTGTAGGTGATGGCAAGCAAATGCGCAATGTCATAATGAACTTGCAATATAAACAAGCCATGCAATGACGCGACGTCGTCGGAATCGCTACTACAAAACCAGCGAAGTCGCATGCTCAATACATTGTACGAGTATTACGGTCGCGAAATTTTACTAGTATATTGGCTGCAACGTCACCGGCGTCGTTTTGATATGTCTGTATACAGCATCCCTAAAACAATGTAGGGCAAGATCAGTCAGGAAATATTAGTATCAAGATGTTGTTCACAATCACAAAGAGAAATCAGAATTGAAAAGTTGACATTAATAGGTAATTTTAAAAATCTTTACTTGCTTGTAAGTTTCCTTTCAATATAAAAGGTTAGATTTCGGCTCCTACGGAATTAAAAAAAGTAATATTGTTCTACTTAAAATACGAACATTGACAACAAAAGTCATTTACCTGCTACGGTTATTTCAGGGGCT